CCAAGTGGTGCCTTTCAGCAAGAAGGGTCTGAGTTTGATTCCCGACTTGAATTTCTCTAAGTGGAGTCTGTATATTCTCCACCTGTTCTGCATGCGTGTGGATCTCTGCTACAGCTAAACATGCACACAATGTCACTGGTATTGGCAAAACTTCCTCATGCTGAAAGATTACCTGGCAATTACTCAATCGGGACTACACACAGCAGCCACCAACGCCCCCCTATTGCAGTGACGTGGCCCAGCCGCTTGTGGGAGAGGTTCACGGTTCGAATCTAGCAATTATTACTGAACATGTGTAGTGATGTTTAATTGATCACTACGGCGCGTAGCGCTAAGTGCTGTAGAACAAGGAAATATGGGTGCAGAGGCTAGCACACCGTGCAGTACCATACAGTGGGTCACTAGGGGCGTGGTACAAGGGTGCTCGCAGAGAGAGGCAAATGAGTCCTCCCGACAGTGTGGGATTGCAGCCAATCCGCAGCGAGTAATTGCCACATAATTGGTCACTGGGGAGCATGGTGCGGGCTGCTGGCGGAAGGGGGCATATGAGGACGAGTCACTCCGGCATTGGGTGAAGCACGTGATGGGCCGGGGTGAGGAATGTGGGGGAAAGGTGACCGAGGGGACACGGGAAGAGTAGCCAGGAATCGTCTAGAAAGTTCCCGAAGGGGGAATGGTTAAGGGCGGAGCCGGGCAAGTGGGAGGTGCAAGGTAGTCTGGAACCTTCGGGAATGTTCCAGAGGGAGGCGTGGCCGAGGGTGGAGCCAGGCCACGCTGAGGGGGATAAAAGGGAAGCCCCGATCGAATATCGGGGCTGTCTGCAGGTTAAGTGGAACCCAAGTGCTACGTCTTTGTCTTCGTCTCCGACGTCGTGGGTCAGACAGCACGTTGGCTGTTCTGACCCGGTTATAGTTACCCCGTGTCCACAAGAGATAGGCGTGTTATAGTCCCGTGTGTAACGAGTGTAAGAGTTAGGTGCATGGTAGTCCCGTGTGTAACGGTGTTGTGTAGTGTAGAATAAACGTTGTTGCCTCCTAAATATTGTCTCCGAAGTGACTCACTACACATGTAAGAACCGTAAAAATACTACGTGCCATCTGCTTTACAGTGGACTTTAAGGATTCCGTGACATCATTCACACAGGTGGGTCGTGTACCAGCGTTATGATCCAAATTCGCTAAATTTGCAAAATCAGCCGCAAATTATTAAATTTGAACATACAGCTATCTTGCACCCCCACCCCCCTCCCCCAATGCGAACACTAGGCAGAGCCCCCCTGACTTCGCCCTATCACCCCGAGACTGATGGGATGGTGGAACGATTACACAGGACCCTGATGTCTATGTTGTGTCAGCAGGTTAATGAAGCCCAGTCCGACTGGGACTTGCACGTTCAGGGGGTTCTCGCGGCCTATAGAATGGCCCCTCACGCTTCTACCGGATTCTCACCGTTTTTTATTATATACGGGAAGGAACGGGACTCCCCCAATTGAAGTTCTAGTAAACATGGAGCCGAGGTGGAACAAGATACCTGGCCCTATGCATCTTACTCTTAAGCGGTTATCTGACGCACGAGAGGCTTCCCGAGGGAATTTAACTTTGCGGCAGGCTGCTAATGAAAGGCTAGTGGGGCTCCGTGAATCTGGAACTAAATGGAAACCGGAGGATAAGGCTTGGCTATACTGCCCCCAGGTGCCGGTGGGTATGTCCCCTAAATTATATCAACCATGGCAGGGCCTGGTCGAAGTGATAGAGGTCAAAAGGCCACAATGTATGCGGATTCAGTTCAGTCGCCGGCGTAGGTTTGTACATCCGTCGCGACTGAAACCATCTTTTACGCCTTGTGGGATCCCTTCATCTCCACTACCCAAGGGCCGGGTGTCTGATGTGTCCAATAAGCTGGGGCGTGTGTCCGCTGAGGTTGTGCCTCTGGGGATTTCTGGTTTTCCGCCCACAGGATCCCAGCACCTAGCACCCTTGGAGTCGCCAGTTGCGCCGACCTGATGACAGACGCTTGTGTTGCGCCCGAAATGTCGTGATTTAATTGAAACCTTCAAATCTAGATAGTTGTTGCTGTAGCTTTGTTTTGTAATTTGTGACCAATCTGAAAAGTCATCTGCCTGAGCCGATTTGCTCTGCAGGGAATTTAATAATTTGCTTTGATTTAACGTTGATTTATTTGTATTTGCAATATTTTCGATTCTTAATGTTTTTTCGTTGATTGCTCAACTTCACCATTGTATTTTGTTTAGCTTTTGTCTATTGGTGACCCAGGTCACTTGGAAATTAGACTATCCTGGCCTCTTTAGTACTAAACTGGTTAAACGAAATAAATAAAAATATAATTTCTCCACTACCATATTATCCAACAACATATTTTACCTCGGCGTCACTCTAGACTCCACTTATTCTGCGACGGCCAACCCAAATACATAAGCACATCTTGTAATTACCAACTCATTTACGTTCACACATCTTAACCGGAATCGCCAATAGCCTTGTCTACAACAGTCGGGTCTTGCCTTGGCAATTGCAACTATATCCCTGTTCGATTTTTATCAACCTCAAATAAATTCCAGCGCATCCTGTGTGCCCGCTAGGTGTCGGGCCACAAGACACATCCAGTGCGGTTACTCCCATTAGACCTGCAACCACATCGACTAGTTGTAGGAGAGGCGAGATTAAATCGCCCTGAACTCGCGAATATTGATGCTTAACCTCGCTTCCTCGGGCAACCATACATCCTGGGTTGCCCAGTGCAAATAGTTCGCTCCCCAGGCCTTCAGGGTGGCATCCATTTACATGGTCACTTGCTTGTGAAAGAACCCTAACACTGGCAATATATCCCCACTGAACGCGATAAGGGCACGAACTGGCCTATATTTGCCCACAAGGGATCCCAGTGTTCCAGGAGAAACCACTGCAATGCTTTTTATGTGAAGGAGGGGCCCACGGGACCATGGCGACTGCCAACGAAATGTATGCACGAAGTCGTGGATTCGATCCTGACCCAGATGCCTATATATTTGGCGCTTGCATGTTCTCAAGTGGATTTTTCTTCGGGTCCACCGGTTTTCGCCTCCACATTTAGAAACATGCGTATTTGGCTGCTATAAATGATATAATTTGTTGGAAGCAACTGAGGGGCTTCAGCGATGTGCTGCTTAAACATGCGTGAGTTATGCTGTGTTAAACCTGTCGGTTGCGTCCTCATCATTCTCAACACAAGGACGTGGCCGAGTCATCATCCTCAATCCCGATGCCTCTGGGCTACGCGAGGCACTGAAACGGCGGTGTGAACCCAAACACGGCAACAGGCCCCGCGCCTGTGGCTCCTTACAATAGGCGCCGATGGCATTCGACACGGCGCCCACCCCCTCCCAGTAGCCCGGGTCACCGCTGGTGCGCTCGTGCCGGCAGGATCTCCGCCCTGTCCTATTGTGACCCGGAGCTAGCCTCGGCTGACGACAGCCCTCGCGAGAGGAGCCATCCCTCGCCCCCTTGTGTGTATGGGGACCGGGAGCGTCCACGGTCTGCCGATCGGGGAACACTTGGTGCGGGTCCGGAGCACACGCGATTTGCGGCCTGCTGACCGCGTGGTAGCCCTGTCATCGGATATCCTGTGTGCGCAACATGCATGTCATCTTAGTCATCACAGGAGCTGTGCTGCAGTGCTCCCGGACGGCATTGCTGAGTGATACACGCAGACTCACGCTCCGCTGCAGTCTGCTGATCTTCGGCGGGCCTGGTGGCCGACCCACTGGCAACGGCAAGAGTAAGGCTGAACAGCCCGAGACTGGGACCCCACGCTCCGAGCTCGATGTGAGCTGGGTGGCACTGGCCTCCTCTCCACTGCAGCTCCTATCCACCGATGGTGATTTTATGCCACGCATGGCGATTTTGTGCCACGTGTGTAACCTCTTGGCTGGATGGCAATACCCTGTGCATTGCACGCAGTGCTACCGTCTCCGTCGTGCACTATGCCACGACAGTGAAAGCAGTGTCCATGGATGTCTCCTGCTCACAAGGGTTGAACCACAGCTGCGACACCAAGCTCTTGCCATCGACGCTATTTGGCTGCGACTCTTCATTATTAAAACTTACTCGGCGACCGTGCCCCCAAAAGAAACCTACTCGGCTATGCCGCGAATGATATATAAATTAAATATTATCCCTAAGACGACAATGAAGATTCTAAGATACTGCTCCTACGGTAAATAATCACTCCTTTTATCTATCTAGGCAGGAGCTCAAGCTGATCCCTGCACTGCCACAAGCATCCAGAACGGAACTGAGGAGGTCGGGCAGTCATGTGAGGGAAGTGTGGGTCCGTCCACTCTGGCCCAAGGGGAGTGGCAGGAGCGGTCCCTACCCGCCTCCTACCCATTACATCGAGGCAATACCTTTATCTTTACTCACTTATTTAACAAATATTAGTGTCTGGGTTCTGTGCTGCTGCAGAGGAACGAGTTTGTTAAGTACCTTATTTCAGAAGATGACTAATTACCAATTCGGACCCAGGATACTACTCCCAACTCTCTGACTTGGCTTTCAGGCGACACTGAGCTTGGTTCCACGCCTCAAGAGTCATGCTCATTTATGTATGTGAAATACTGTGTGCATTATAACGTGCACAATTAGTATATAACGTAATAGGAGGAATCCAGAGGCGGTGAGTTGGATTCCATCTTCCGGTACGAAGTTGATACAATGAGGCAATTTTCTCAAATCCCCTTCCCGCTGCCGCCTCTGTCCATCAGGCAATATATATGGGTTCACCAATTAGTTCATTGGCAGGTAGCGTGTACGGAGGTAGAGTGTTGGTACGGCCTCCTTTTCCAACACATCTCGTCAATGTGGAAGACCAAAGACCCTTTAGTGTTCCCTCTAGTAGAAGCACTTCCTCCAGAAGGAGTTTGAGCAAGCGATCGTAGGACCACACCTTTACCTTTTATGAACATACCCAATGTTGATTTGCCACAGAACTCGTTTTCAGAGCAGCAATAATTTTAATACGATACCAACAACGCACAACTGCTCAGGCATAGCCACAGCACGATGCTGTCTCGTGCAACTTCATGAGCTGCATGTTCAGCACCACTTTAAATTCGTGTGGATCGTTGACCAGCGTTACACATCCGCATTCCGAGACTTTACAAAACAAGAAAACTCAAAACATAAACCAGATAGACTCAACACGTGCAGTTTCGCAGCCAATTTTATGGTTCATAATTAATTTTGGGATCATAATTGATCAACTCACTGGTGAGCTGAAACAACAATAATTAGCGCGTTCAACACTTGTACATATGACAATTTTATACATTTGGCTATGTTGGGTGGTGGAGGGTCTTATGACATAAATTTGACCAGATCATTGTGGCTTCACTCAAAAAACAATGAGAAATTATAAACCAGATAGAAACCATTCCTGTGTGACGATAAACCAATGGCAGAAGTAGCGAGAGCTGAAGAATGGCAGAAGTAGCGAGAGCTGGAGGATGGCAGAAGTAGCAAGAGCTGGAGGATGGCAGAAGTAGCGAGAGCTGGAGGATGGCAGAAGTAGCGAGAGCTGGAGGATGGCAGAAGTAGCGAGAGCTGGAGGATGGCAGAAGTAGCGAGAGCTGGAGGATGGCAGAAGTAGCGAGAGCTGGAGGATGGCAGAAGTAGCGAGAGCTGGAGGATGGCAGAAGTAGCGAGAGCTGGAGGATGGCAGAAGTAGCGAGAGCTGGAGGATGGCAGAAGTAGCGAGAGCTGGAGGATGGCAGAAGTAGCAAGAGCTGGAGGATGGCAGAAGTAGCGAGAGCTGGAGAATGGCAGAAGTAGCGAGAGCTGGAGGATGGCAGAAGTAGCGAGAGCTGGAGGATGGCAGAAGTAGCGAGAGCTGGAGGATGGCAGAAGTAGCGAGAGCTGGAGGATGGTAGAAGTAGCGAGAGCTGGAGGATGGCAGAAGTAGCGAGAGCTGGAGGATGGCAGAAGTAGCGAGAGCTGGAGGATGGCAGAAGTAGCGAGAGCTGGAGAATGGCAGAAGTAGCGAGAGCTGGAGGATGGCAGAAGTAGCGAGAGCTGGAGGATGGCAGAAGTAGCGAGAGCTGGAGGATGGCAGAAGTAGCGAGAGCTGGAGGATGGCAGAAGGCGCCAACATGTTTCACTCTCACTGCGGTTACTTTTAGGATTAATTCGTGCATGGCTACCAAGTACTCAAAATGTATTTACTAGCACAGGTACCACTTATACACATGCAAAAGTTATTTGAAATTATAAATCTGCCATCAAAAAATGTAAATTCATTAAAGTCTAATTTCTAAATTATGATTAACGGAGAATTCTCAAAATCAAAAACACTAGGCGAAGAACCCGGGGCCGGCCCGGGACACGCTGGCGGGACTATGTCACTCAACTGGCCTGGGAACGCCTGGGAATTCCCCAGGAAGAGCTGAAGTCTGTCGCCAGGGAAAGGGAGGTCTGGATCGCCACGACTCAACATGCTGCCAAAGCGACCTTCACCAGGACAAGCGGATTGAGAAACAAACGAACAAAAATCCGTTCAACAATTAATTTAATTATTCAGCCATTTGTAACTATGCATGTTGATTGTCTAATTTAAACAATGCTACGTAAAATAAAAGAATGTGTTTTTGTGAATTACACCAAAATTAAAAACCTAAAACACAGTTATATGTGATTGTCTTCACATGATTCTTGAATTCAAACTCTACACCAACCCCCTTCAGCTATACATTTAAACAAAATTGGACATCAGTGATTATTGTGAAAATAAACATAATTCCTGGAGACTAATTTTGTTATATACATTTGAATGAATATTGTTGTGAAATTGATTAACGGACATTTGTTAATTCGAAAATGGGTTCGTTTAAGTCAGAGGATGGGTGGGTGATTATTGTGTTTCAAAAGGTTTTGGGTTCATAAGAAAACATTGTGGAGTGACCATCTTGAACAAGATTAATGTATTATAAAACCACACTCAAACAAGTGGTTAAAAGTTTCCTCGTCTTCTGCAAATTAGTCTGCCTATTAAAAGTATTCATTAAATGATGTCATTTATGTTCTCCCCCTCTGCTGTATGGATTTTCTATGGGTTTCTCCCATAGCTAAGCACATAGAATGTCATTGATATTGGCCAATCATGTCAATTCAGGACCCTCATTAATATCATGTCCATCAAACCAACTTCGATAAATCATGACTATTGGGGACACAAACTCGCACACGGTCAGTACTGATGCTTAAATCAGCAGCTGCTATCCATCGCTCCTCTGACAGATAATGCTGGAGCTCTTGAGCGAGGCATAGTCTTTGTGCTTTTCCAAGGTAAATATTATAGTATTTTAAATAGGGTATATGAGCTCTAACAAACCACAAGAGCTGAAATTATGACTGTGTTTTGGTGAAATTTGACCAATCGCAAGCGATGACCTCGCTTCCCTAAACGGGAGCACTTGCAATGCTGGTTCTCGAGTGGAGGCACATGTTAGAATGGGTCAATGGGAGGCCGGGCGACCGCATTCAGCCCACACAGGCAGAACAGATTACATCATTTATGGGTCACGTAATGCATAACTTTCCTGATTTTATGGTTTCATGATATGAAGAACCTTGACCTGTTGCAAGCGAAACATTTCATCTGTTAAATTTGGTTGTAAAATATTGTTCTTTAACTCACTGGTGAGCTGAAACAATAACTGGAGAGTTAAACGCTTGTGCACGTGAACATTACGTTTGTTTGGGTATGTCGGATGGTTAAGGGGATACGAACATTTTTTCGACCTATTACATGGCCTAACCTCAAAAATCAATCAAGGATCATATTGGCTGCAAAAACCTATACCTTTTAAGTGTTAATAAGTTAACGCTATTGAGCCAATAACTCAATATATTCGATAGTACATCAAAACATACTTCTGAAAAACATTTAGATGTGTATACTCATTGGGCAAATACAACACTGTATCCATTGCCTCGATGCTCAGAGCATTAAATCACTTTGACTGCAAGGAGTGTAACAGTCACTCTCCACCCGCAACGACCTTCAAAATGGCCAAGGTTACGAACCAGTGTACCAGTATAACGCACCGGGAACTACCAATACTCCGATGGTCAGTTCTATGATTCAAGTTTCTAATCAACCACATTTTTGTCAGATCGCAGCACCAAGAGATAACACTCTGTGGTGTATTAAGTTTCACAATTATGGAGACCCCCATTTTAAAAATTATGCCCAATGCAGTATTGCAGCTTGTAAGATCTTCACTGCAGGCTGACCCAAAAGCAAATCTCCGTCCCCAGTTGGGAATGCATTGTAGTCGAGTTAATTCACAATGCCTTGCTTATACTTATGTTATCGAGAACATAATGACGTGGCGCTGCCACAATCTGTGACAAGAATTTGTCCAATTGTGCATCTCCGTGACTCTCATAGTTTGTCTATCTCTGTATTCGTGTCTGTGTGAAGCTCCAGGTCTGTCTCTACGAGTGTCTCCATATCTGTGCGTCTCTGTTAGTGTATTTGGATGTGTCTGTCTCAATGTCGGAGTGCCAGTACAATTGGGTCTGTAATTGCATGACCTGCCTAATATTGTGGGTTTGTGTATGCATTACCTAATATTCTCTGTGGGTTTGTGTATTCGTGGCCGAGTCGGTGTATTCGGGTCTGTTTGTCTGTGTTTCCATATCTGTGACAGTGTTCGAGTCTATATGTCCGGTCCACTGATTCTGGCTCCAGTCATTAAGGGTGGCCAGTCCTCCACTCGAGGCAAGAAACTGCTAAACAGGGAGTGACTTTGCTTCAGAGCAAAATTATGACGGAGGTGTGAGAGCATGGAGGCGTGGTGTGGGAAGCTGCGAGTCCCAGGATGTTGCGGCGATAAATAGTTGTGGTGGTAATAAATAAGTTGTGGTGGTAGCCTATGCTTCCACCAAAAATGAAAATCATTGGAGGGATGCAGACAAGGGCGATGAGTCGGATGCATGCTCTGATCTCCTATCCCAAGTGCTGGCTAACGTGGCTAGTCTGGATAGTCAACTTATTGGAGTGGGTTATGATGCAGGCACGTGGGCCAGAGTAACTGGAAGGCATGGGCCAGATTAGCTCAATAACGGTAGGAGGCTGCTAGATTTATGTGCAGGTCATGGGCTTGTAATTACCAAAACACTGTTCCATACATCGGTGCATCCACACATCATGGATGCACGCCGGGTCCAAGGAAACACATTTGCTGGAATACATAGTTACGGAGCAGTGAATACAGGCACATGTCCTCGACACCAGGACCTATCGTGGAGCTGATATACCCACTGAACATCGACTTGTCAACTGTAAGATGCGCCTGCCATTCTGGGGTGGTGGGCATCCACATAGGACCACATTCAAACCCACAATAGTCTTGGCTAGCTGATGAAAGTTGCAATATTTTCATCGTGTCCAACTGGGGTTGGCATCATCCCCATCTCCTGATGCCGTGAGGAAATGGCTGCATTGGGGATACGGTCCAAATCTCCCCAGAGACCCTGGCTAAGAGGTAGTGTTCCGGCTAGCTGAGAAAAAACGACAGGCCCACTCCCACCATCCAACGTCCAAGAGTGAGGTTTACCACAACCTTTGCGCAGGGGTTCGAAAAGCCGTTTGGCAATGCAAGGATGAGTGGTGGTCACGGGTTGCTGAGGAGATGGGAAAATGCTCCAGTCGTGCAAAACCACAAGGAACTTTATAATTCCATAAAAAAAGTTATCCGCTTGTTGACCCTGCTGGGGCCTGCTGTACCTCAAATTTTGGAGGAAGTAGCTGGAGTGTTTGGCTAACGTGCCATCTGTTTAGGAAGTGTGAAAGGCTATCCAGAGCCTCAGACAAAGTCAAGCGCTGGGCAGAGATGACTTTTCAAGCGCATTGCCGAGGGTGGTGTTTGCGTGCTGGCTGCCCTTTGTGACACTATTACAGTTGTCTGGACCACAGGACGGGTTACGTAGGATTACAATGATGCCCTGGTTGTCGCCAAAAAGGGGGACACGCACTGACTTTAACTTTCGGGGCATCTCCCTCAACGTGCCGGGAAAGGCATTGGTAAAGATACATCATGGGATTTCCTTTGCCAGTATCAAAATATGAGAATAGGTTTTCCCCTTTTTTCTGGCAACAAAACAGGTGTTAAGATGTTAAAACACCAAACTTAAACCTTTTACAAGGAATCATGTCTGCATTAACCACATATACTTGTGGTTAAAATGCAAACAAAAACATACTCCGATAGTTCTAGATTTGAAGCTTTCGTGATTGCAATTATTCATATTCTTAGGTTTTTTTCGGTAAAGTCATACAAATATACAAACACAGACATAATTTCAACCGTGATGACGGTTACAAACTGAGTAATCATTGGAAAGATGTGATTAACCATGCAAAAAAGATTTAACTACACTTATTTGCCAATCTTATTTGACAGACAACCATTACTGTTTTACCATGTTTAGTGGTGGTCTCCCTGTTACAGGTTGAGTCACAAACCGCACCTCTCCATAACAAAGGCTCAGCCTTTGTTATGCAGTCTATTCTTAGTCTCAAGCCTCACCTTACCATATTAATAATAAGTATGCGGCCCGTGCCCCACCACCTTCTCCAACCATTATATAAACGGAGTGGTAGCTCCTGCAATCTCTCATTTACTTGATACAGCTGTCGTGGCTGTGACGGTACCACCTGAAGACGGAAGCTTGTGTTGCCTCCGAAACGTCGTGATTTTTATTTTATTTCTTAATGTTTTTACCTACGTGACTTTACCGAAAAAACCTAAGAATATACTCCGATAGGATATGCATTGTCTTTGAAACTGATTGGTCCACGCCTTTTGGCGTCCTATGGTCTAACACCGTTTGAGACTAGTTTCTGTACTTGGGTCATGTGCTTTACGACAGCTCTGGTTTGGCAGCAAAGGTCTCACTCCGAATCAGCAGAGCGGCATTATGTTTTCTTCAGCGGGATAACGTTGTGTGGAAGCTACCTGGTCTATTGCTCAACACGAAGCTCCAGGTCTTCCCGGCCAGTTATGCCATTCCGTAGCTATGTTTACGAAACGTGGACACCTGGAATGGAACATCTGCGCCGTTTAGAAACATTCGAGCTGGCCCGGGTTTAACCAGGCTGGATTGTGTAAGCTCACAAATCCTTGAGAGATCTGAAGCAAGGCTGCGTTGGCTGGGTCATATACCCCCGCATGCCCAGCCACCGCTTGCCCAAGCAGCTTGTTTAATCGGATACAGGCTAACCGGACATGGCATGGGACAGAGAAGAGATGGACTAATGTGGTAAATGATGAAATGGAGCTTAGTGGACTTAAGGAAGAGTAATACCAGCAGAGTCAAGATCGGCCTCTATGGAAGAGAGTCATGAAGGACGCTGCTGGGCAATTACCCTCCTACAACAGCAGAGGGCAGAGGAGCGACATTTACAAAGAGCGGAGCGACATTCACAATGAGCGGAGCGCCGAGTGACTAAAAAAAAACAGCAAGTTGACAGTAGGGAGCACAGATGGTGTATCTGCCCCTCATCTCAGTCAACCAATGGCACCTGGGCCTTTCCTGTGACGTGCCAGCCAGCCTTCGATACTTCGCGTGACCTCAAACTTCACCTAGCCTGGCACAAGCAGCGGGGTGACGTCACCACGACTTAGTGGCGATTGGCAGCTGTTGTTTCCATGACTGTGGATCTGTCTCTCCGTGTCTGTCATCATATCTGTGTTTGAGTGTATTTGTCTGTGTGGCCTTCACAGGTGCTACTCGCGAACAGCACTTTCCCCAAAAGTATGTTTAGGCTATATGGGGGATCTTTGTGTTTGTTGCATCTCTGTTTCCGTCTCTGTGTGCCTCCGTCTGTCTGCACAACTGTGCATGCACGACCGAAGAAGTTGAGAAGTCTAGAGTTGGAGGATGAAAGCTGTCTTGCACTCTGCCACGACCAATGAAGAGAAGAGGGTGGGACGCTTTCCTCTAATTCTGAAAATACCATAGCATACCTGGGCCTTTTGCGCGGCATGCCTGTGAATCACTGCAGTATTGGTGCTTCATGGGCTCTAATTTCGCCTACAAATGTAATCCAGTGGGTGGCAGCATGTGAATTCCATCACCATGGTTGCATTATGCGGTTGAATGCCAAACTCAACCACTACTCTGACATCGTGCTCCAACCCTTTGTATTCTTACGTATGCATACTTACAGAGTGCTATCGGCGTTGGTCAAACATCCCAATATAGGACCAAAGAGTTTGGACAATTATTGGCTTCGGTTCTGGCCGCCTTCCCGCTTGTCTGGATTCCCGTGCCTCTCCATAATCTCTCCCGAGAGTGAGCACATGAAAACTGTGTGCATTACACATTCTAAATGATTTGTGGTTACTTTGCATTGGTTGTAGGTTTGTTTAGATTAAAAATGACAATGACCGTGCTTCAATATACATGCCGAAGAATATAAACGAAACACTACTTTGGCTGAGACAATACACAGCGTGTAACAAACACTTGCAAAACACTAACCGTAACAAAGAGGCTGCGACTCCCAGCCTGTGACGAAAGGCCTCCGTGTCACTACTGAATGTTTTGTTACAAACATAAAAAAAGCATAAATTTTTAACTCTACAAACTACACTACATGTAAACATTGTATGCATTGGCATTGTTGGTAAATATATTACACAATGTCAACGTTACACCAGTGCTTTCTAAAGCTCAATGTAGTATTTCTGCTAACAGCAGTTTATAGCCAAAAAACAGCTGAGGAATCTAAGTTGTAATCTCAATAAATAATCAAGACAATATGCCTCCACATATCCGTCTTTCCAGATGAAAAATCCAAGTATTTGTTTACACATTTGCAACATGGCCTTCTGGGAGACCATATTCACAGCATTCGTTCAACATAAGCAAACGATGGGCCGGTTTCAACATTTAGTGTCTCATCAGCAAGCTTAGAACGCATTGGCATAACGTGCTTGCCGTCAGGCGTATAGGCAAGGACCCTTTCTGTTAGATATGGGTCCTACTTCGATGCAAACCATACAATATGCAACAATCATTCGCATGGCAGTTCATCAACATTGGTTCAAGCAAGCTCGACTGCTGATGAGACAATGTAAAAACCTGTCTGGAGTAAGCATGTGTTGGATATATGCTCCTGAAATGATGCACTCCTAGAAGGAAGGTCGTGTGGCTGATGGGATGTCTAAAGAAAACTTGAATTTGTATGTGGAGGGACATATGTATCGTATTGGTGTATTGCCTGCTTATTTATTTTTATTACTTTTATAATCTCAATGTTCCCTTGATGTGCATCTTCAGCGCTTGTGCTGCCCTCGTGCGAAGTGACAGCTGAAGTCGTAGCGATCGTGGCAGCAATAGCCACAAACATTGCACTGGAAGGGGTTCTCATAGCCATGGCAGCCCATGTGAATGGTGTAGAGTATATTGTCTGGGAAGTATATGTCACAGTGAGGGCACTGGTGGGCCTCTGTGTCAGCCTGGTTTGTGAGGGCCGGGGGTCCACGCATGGGGGAGAGACGCCCCCCTTGGGGGCAGGAGCCGGGAGTCTGGAGCACGGGCAGGGCGGGTGTGCTCCGGTGGCTCCCCGTGCTGCTCGGCGTGTTGGCTCTCAGACTCATCTCACTGCTGCTCGTCAGTCTGATCGGGCTGCACCCACTGGGAGGGTGGTGCCCACTCTCCTGCTTGTTCGGGTACGGCGATGTCTGCCTCGAAGAGGGCTGCGAGTGATGATGCTGCTGCTGGTGGTGGTGGTGGTGCTGGGCTGAGTGATGAGACTGGGGCTCTGGGCTAGAATGAGCTGGAGAATGCTCCTGGGCTAGACTGATGGATGCAGCGACCACTGGACCGTTTGCAGGCATTTCCAAATTGTGCGCTGCGTAAAGGTGTTCCATTATTTTTCCATCCCGTTCTTGCAACGCCAATCCATCCTTGTTGCCGTCTTCGATGAGCTGTCCGGTTTCGCTGCAGATTATCCCTTGCGTCTCGCTGCAGTCCAGCTCCTCCTGCTCGTTGATCCTCCCCGTCTCGCATATGTTCCCGGCGCGACCGCGTTGGTCGGCGTGCGCCGTCTGAGTACCGCGAACTTCACCAGACACCAAGCAGGAAATCTGCCCGGCGAGAGCCGACAACTGGCTGAGCGGCGTCTCCTCACTCATTTCCGGGGCGACGCCGCCGTCGGAGAGAGAACTGTAGTTCCGCATACTCGGAGCCAGGTCATCCCCGTGAAATCTCGCATTGGACTGCGGTGCAATGGAACCGTGGCCCATGCCCACCATGGTCGGTGGGCTCATGTTGAGGCTCAGGCTCGCACGTCGTCCTCCGTAACCGCCTCCGCCGTGCTGATGCAAGTTGTACGAAGACGCGGACGACAGCGAGCCCGAGTGCCCTGGGTAGGCGTGATGAGCCCTGCGCACGAACGCTGCCCCAAGTCCCAGCAAGCTGCGGCGGTTGGCCAGGATCCCTCGCTGGGCCAGCCCTGAGAGGCCAACTAGGCCCGAGGTCTTGTGGCGGCGCCTGCGGTGGTGGGAAAGATTGCTGCGGTCGCTGCAGCGGAACGAGCACAGGTTGCACTTGTAGGGCTTCTCCCCCGTGTGCGAGCGCATGTGCGCCTCCAGGTGGCGCACGTAGGCCGAGGCGAAGGAGCACAGGTGGCAGCGATAAGGCTTCTCTCCTGCGCAAACAAAGCCGACGGTCACATCAAAGAGAAAGGGTGGGAAACACGTTCAGTTGGGCGGCAGGGTGGAGTAATAGTACCACTTGTGCTCGACAAGAAGTTCCTGGGTTCGATTCCTTACTCGGGCGACATTCTCCCCATGCATTTGCTTCAGTTTTGGTGAGGAGTGTCTGCGGAGGAAAATTACTGTTAACTTCCCCACAAAAGCGGTAATCATTGTATAGACCCCAGAGGGCTTTTGGGCTGAATCAACCGCCAATCAGGATTTGAACTTGCAGCCTTCCGATTGAGAGCCGCTTGCTCTACCGCTCAGCCACATGGCCGGTTTAAAACAATGGCACCCACAACAGGGTAGTCGGAGCCTGGGTGATGTGACGATTACTACTAAGGCTCTTGGAGGCCAAAAGCATCGACAAGCACTGGGACGGAATGGCTGCACCTGGTGCCTTCTTTCAGCCACCTCCCTATTGTATACAATATAGATTCAGAAGTTCTGTATAAGGCAGTCCTCGACTTACAACCATAATTCGTTCCTGGGACTCGTTCCTAAGTTGAACGGTTTGCAAGTAGGGAACACTGTGCTGTATTTATATGCCCCTATGGTCAGTTTTTTTAAATGGGTTACGGTTCAACAAAAAAGGGAAGCATTGTTAAAGTCATGAGAAGAAATGTTGTAAATTTGCATGTAAGTGTAAAAAATTAACTAAAGTAATAAATAGAAAAAAAAATCTGTTTAATTTTCACTTACCTTGAGTCCTGATGCTGGCTTACTTATTGGAAGCGGCACAATGAGTAACCACAATTGCACATACACATACAAAGACAGACAAGAAAAAGACACACGCAGACAAGACAAACACAGACAAGACAAAGACACAAAGACAGACACATACACGGGCCACACGCATGCACAGACACACATTACAACGATAACGATCCCCAGATAGCCGAAACAGACTGTTGGAGCAAGTGCTGTTCGCGAGCAGCACCTATAATAATAATTTACATTTATTTGTAAGACGCCTTCCACTAATGTCTCAAGGCGCCTTGTAAGAATAAGGATAGGCCAAGAGAACAGAAGCTAAATAGAATAAACTGATTTAATAAAATGTGTTTTAAGATGAGATTTAAAAGGCCGGCATGGCACACGAGGGAGTGAGTGGTCAGCAGCATGCCTGGCTGCCTTTGTCTCCCCAATGGCGATGTTTACACACCACCAGGTACTCAGCCTCATTTGAGGCTGAGTTGACCTAGGGGAGGCCCAGAACCTGGTCAGATAATCATCTCCGGTGTTGGCCGTGAACGGGAATGGAACTCGGGTTGCCGCTTTCGTAGCGCAGCACGCTAACAGCTACACACACGTTCACACACAAACACATACCTCTCAGTTCATGTGCAGTAGCAACACATTAACTGATTTAATCGCTCCATCTACTCGCTGGCTGCCACTCCGTTATTCTTGACCAGTGGCCATTGTCACTTATAGCCATGACGTGTCCTGCACAAGTCCACTCTTCGCAACAGGTGTGCCGTGGCAAAGTCCTAGGTCTGCCACAGAATTATTGGAATTAGAATATCAAGCCCCCACCCCCACCTCCTGTCCCCTCGTCTCCATTTGTTGCAGCACAGCAGCAGATAGATGTCAGCCCCACCCCCGGCCCATTGAACTCCCTCAGTTGCAGAAGTGTAGACAAGCAAATAGACGTGGAGACAAACGCACAGAACATGGAGACACAAATACACTCACGCAGTTGGGCAATTTTTTTGTCACGGAGTATAAGAAAGGGATTTCGAAATCTGTCAGCTACAAAGCAGTCCCATCCCATCTGTCCAGGCCCACAATGATTTTTTTTTGCTTCGGTGTGCTGTGAAGATCGGGCACAAGTGTGTTCTGTAAAATGAGAAAGGTTGAAAAACGCTGCTCTAACCCACGAGAAGAATAACAAGACTACTCGCGGGCAAAGCAGAGTGAGTGAGGCGTGCGCTCTGTGTGTGCAGCTGCCATGCTCCGTCGCCGTGCCCACCGGTGTGGGTCCTCATGTGTTCCTCGAGCCGCGCCGTGCCCTTGCACGCGTAGTCACAGTACTTGCACTTGAGCTTCCCGTCCTGCGTGCGCTCGTAGCCGTCGAGCGGCAGCCCGAGCCCATCCTCCAGGCAGCCCTCCATCTTGTCCGCCAGGGCTGAGGGATCGCCCACTGCATCACACGAATTAGAATTTGTTTACATTTATAATATCAATAGCAATCTTTGCATTTACATGACGCCTGCTTAAATGTCTCAGTAAACCAAAGCTCCTGACATCACACCTCATCTCATTTCCATGGGGACCACCAGTAATTGCTGTACAGCACAAGGTGATGATTCAGTATCAGCCTGCAAGTGGGCATTCGACCACTAGTAGGGGGCGACGATTTCTACGCGTAATGTCAATTGAGTAAATTGCAGTGCCAGTTTTCGGATTTCAAAAATTTAGACCACGCCGGCACACAATGGCCTACTCATTTCGACTTTCATCAGGGGATTTGTAATATCTGCTATTGGTAGTATTTTGCAGTTAATCTACACCGCAGTAATAACCAGGGCTGCTTGCAGGAATCGAATTATGAACCTCTGAAACAAATGGCGAATGCTATCTCTAGACCACGTCATGGCCCAAAGTTTATAAATTATAAGTGAAGTGTAAAAGAAAGGGAGAACTCCGTAACTCTGTACTCGAGTCCAACCTCAAGATGCTCACCTCCATTGAGAGGCTCTGGATCTGTCTCAGAACCAATGGAACCTGAGATGAGATTGACCTGGTTGGTCTGCTGAGTGAGGTACTCCTGGAAATCTTTGACAAAGTCCTGGGGCGGATCTCCCGTGTCCCCATCCGCCTCCATCTTTACGGTGACGGTGGCAGCCGCCATGTCTGCCATTGTGGTTGTGAATCTGTAATGAACACACACCACCACAGCAGGCCCAACAACAATGTTTCTGCTAAAAAAAAACTTAACCAGGCATCGCCAATGAGATAAAATCACTAGCTGGTATTCAACAAACCTGTGAAATGTGCAACACCTGTGAAATCTGCAAACTATCCCAGCCTGACCATGTCAATATTGAAAGTCAGTGGTTACCTGCTCTAATGAGCATTGGGGAAATGGTGCTCATGTCCTGATCATAGCGATGAGCTCAAGGTGGGAATTCCACGTTACTATGGCTGGAGCTATTCACCCCATAGGACAAGATGATTAATTTTAATTCAGTGCAGGGAACAGTGTACTATGAAATATTAAGGTAGCAATCTCCTACACCTTTGTCAATGGCCAATGGAATGTCATCCCACCACTTGAGGTATCCAATTCATTACAGACGGAAGGGTTAGCTCTGGAACGAACTTTACAGTTTTCCAATGCTGTTGCTGAAGGTACACAAAAAGTGTAAAATTATTTATGCAGATGTTTTATTTTTTAACAGGAGTGCAAGGGAAGACAGAAAGTAAAGTGCTTATGGATAGGATGCCAATTTGGCTATTTTATAATTTAAACAGCGTATAAACCAGTACCATTGTGTTGTAGCATACAGTATGTTATCAAAAGTATGTTATCCTACTCTACTATCACCACTCGCATCGCACTAACCACCCCCACCACAACTCACATTGCACTCTTCTCCACCACAACTCACATCGCACCCTCCACCATCACCACAACCATCAAACACCACCACCATCACTACCAAAACCATCACCACCCACATCGCACTCTCCACCACCACCATCACCACCACCATCAACCACTGCCATCACCACTCACACCGCACTCTCCACCACCATCACCACTCGCATTGGACTCTCCATCACTCACACCGCACTCTCCACCATCAACACAAACTCCACCACCATCATCACTCACATTGCACTCTCCTCCAACACCACCACCAACGCACACACCGCACTCTCCTTCATCACCACTCACACCGCACTCTCCTCCATCATCATCACCATTCATATCGCATTTCCCACCACCATTACTACTCACATCGCGCTCTCCACCACCATCACCACTCACATTGCAATCTCCTCCACCATCATCACCATCACCACTCACATCGCACTCTCCTCTACCACCATCACCACCACCATCACCACCACAATCACCACCACCACCAAAAAACAAAGATCCCCCGTGTAGCCTTAACATGCTGTTGGGGCAAGTGCTGTTAACGAGTAGCGCCTATGAAGGCCGGCACGACATACGATGGGGGTGGATTCGTCAACACCACGCCCGGCCGCCTTTGTCTTCCCAGTGGCGATGGTTACACACCGCACCAGGTACTAATTTGAGGCCGAGCCGACCTAGGGGAGGCCCATAACCGGTTCAGATAATCGCCACTGGTTGGCCGTGAGCGAAAATCGAACTCGGACGGCCCAGTTCGTAGAGCAGCGCGAACCGCCACACGACTGCTCCACCATCACCAACATCACCATCATCACCACCATCAAACACCACCACCATCACCACTCACATCGCGCTCAGCACCACCATCACCACCAAAACCATCACCTTCACCACCATCACCACTCACATCGCACTCTGCACCACCATCACCACCACCACAAACACCACCACCATCACCTTCATCACCATCACCACTCACATCGCACTCTCCACCACTATCACCACCACCACAAACACCACCACCATCACCTTCATCACCATCACCACTCACATCGCACTCTCCACCACTATCACCACCACCACAAACACCACCACCATCACTACCAAAACCGTCACCACTCACATCGCACTCTCCACCACCATCACCACTCACATCGCACTCTGTACCACCATAACCATCACCATCACCACCATCACCACCCACATCGCACTCACCACCACCATCACTCACATCGCACTCACCACCACAATCACCATCACCACCGCCACCACCATCACCACCAAAATTACAATCACCACTACCACCACCATCACCACTGTCACCACCACCGTCACCACCATCACCACCGCAATCACCACCGCAATCACCACCGCAATCACCACCATCACCATCACCACAATCACCATCACCACAATCACCATCACCACAATCACCATCACCACAATCACCACCACCATCACCACCACCACCATGACCACCACCACCGTCACCACCATCACCACCGCAATCACCACCACCACAATCACCACCATCACCACCATCACTACCATCACCACAACCACCATCACCTCTCTCACTTTAGTCTCCGCTCGCTGCTCGCCTCTTTCTCCTGCGCCGGGCCGCGCCTCAGGGTACGCGGTGAATCGCGCCCCGCGTCACGCCACCTCACGCAGCAGGGTCCGCGATAATTTACTCCACAGAGGCCAACGTCATGCGCCCTGACTAATCCCGCCCCCCACCTCCCTTGGCTCAAAGCTTTTGTTACCGCACGAATTCATGTGCTTTGGGTCTTTCGGTAAAGTCACGTAGATATAGGTAAAAAAATACCTAAAATATTAATTTTTTTAATTTTTTTTGTTATTTTCTTTGAACCTATTTACGTGACTTTACCGAAAGACCCAAAGAATATGTACCCCCCCCAACTCAACTAGGCGATATGTTAACTCCCACGCCAGGTGTGCAGGAGGTCGTGGGCATCGATCCCGACCCTGACGATGCCTGCTGCTGTGTATTTGGAGTTTGAGTGTCTCTCTCTCCCCGTTGTCGCGTAGATTTTTGTCCGGGTCCTCCGGGTTTTCCCTCCGCATTTAGAAACACGCGTTTAGGGTATATGGCTGCTATAAATGTCCACATAAGCCACTTCGTTGAGCTATCATTTGTGACCAAGTTGCTTCTGAAACAGAACTATATAGCTCAGTGGGGCTTTACCTAGTAAAATAAAACATTTTAAAGAATAATTATTAAATAATTATTAAAGTTTTTAGTTTAGTTAAAGGTAATCATAAACACAAAATTTTGCAGTCTTTTGAAATACGTGGTCAACCAGGTTCAGTGTCTAACTGTGTTGTGGGCCGACTGGGTTGCATCGCATTATAATTCTAAGGTTTGCTGAGTTCGCGTCTCCCATCTTCTTGCTGTATCTCCCTCCGTGCAGTTTGCCGTTCTCTGTGTGCCCTGTGTCACGTGATGTCCCTCTGTGTGCCCTGTGTGTGATGTCTGTGTGTGATGTCTCTGTGTGCCCTGTGTCACGTGATGTCCCTCTGTGTGCCCTGTGTGTGATGTCTCTGTGTGCCCTGTGTCACGTGATGTCCCTCTGTGTGCCCTGTGTGTGATGTCTGTGTGTGATGTCTCTGTGTGCCCTGTGTCACGTGATGTCCCTCTGTGTGCCCTGTGTGTGATGTCTCTGTGTGCCCTGTGTCACGTGATGTCCCTCTGTGTGCCCTGTGTGTGATGTCTGTGTGTGATGTCTCTGTGTGCCCTGTGTCACGTGATGTCCCTCTGTGTGCCCTGTGTGTGATGTCTGTGTGTGATGTCTCTGTGTGCCCTGTGTCACGTGATGTCCCTCTGTGTGTTCCCTCGCTGTGTGGTTTACGCCATTTTCATCTGAGGACGAGCGCTTGTGTTGCGTTCGCAACGTCGTGATTTATTTTGTTTTATTTCTACATACGTGACTTTACCGAAAGAACCAATGAGTAAAGTAATCATCATTAACTCATCCAATATCAAATTAGTAAATGCAGATGCACGAAGTAGTTGTTAGACTTCTTGATGAATGGACTTTAATCACGGTCTGGTATCCTTAGTGGCAGTTAATGGACAGGCGTCTTGCCCTTGCAGGAGTCGTTGCACCCTGTCTCGACTGCTGAAGTGCAGATCCATGTGAACAGCGCGATGCCACCGTGACACAGCCACACGCCAGCTGTGACAGCTAGCAGCTTGACGGACGACGGCCCCGTCACGGCGATGGGCCATTGATGAGAGCACAGCAGCGGTGGTGCTCTATCAGGGCTGAACTCTGATGGTGTCGACGCGGCTCTCCTCGTGGGTCGATACAGCACAGCACTCTCTCCCCATCACGTGACAGCTGTGCATATATCTTTAGAGTGATAGTCCACGGACTTGTAGTTATAAAGTGACTATTTATCTCGTGTGGATTACGGCTTATGACTCGATTTGCACAATTTAGTGCAGACGGTATTCTCTCTCCTTTGTGGATCTTCTCCTTGAGTCGCACTTATCTCTGCTTATGCACCAACGAGTCTTGCGGCAATGCCCTCTGCTGCCCACAACGCAGTCTGTTGTCCTGTCACCTCTATTTAAATCGATCCGCAGAGTTCACCATGTCACGAAAGGAATGGCTTATTTGACATTTAACGCAGTTGCCGAGCAAAGACCCCAACAGCAAGCAGTCGGCAAAAAACAGCAAAGCATCAGTAGATAATAGTTCAAGCGATCTTGAATTGAGCAAGATTATCGGATGCCCCTCATGCAACTCCGAAGCGCCATCAATCTGGTTGCATTGGATTGTTGCAGCCAAGTGGCTGAGAACTAGGTCCTTCAAATCCCCGGAAAGCCCGGAGAGATGACTGGAGGTAGACACCAGAGTGGCTAAAGCAGTGGCTGTCGCCAGACTCCACAATGCCTGTGTAATAAAAGACTCCGTCAGGCACTGCTGGTCTCTGTTGGTCTTTTATTTAGGTTCTTTCTCCGCACCCCGCTAGTCCCCTCCGCGGACCAGCGTCTCCTCCACTCCCGCACTCCACACACCGCTGGCCGACGGCGTGCTGAAGGTCCCTCGGCCACGTGGCCGATGGCGCGGATCTCCTCTCACCACCCAACGTGGCTCAGCCTCTTTACTCCCCAACTGACTTCGATCTCTTCCGGGCTCCCACTTATATCCTCTCCCCCCACGTGACCCAGACTCCTCCCCTTCCGGATCGTCAGATCCGGCCTTCCCATACTGCCCTGCTGGCTCCGCCCCCATTCACCTCGCTTCCCATTGGAACTGAGGTGAACGGCGGCTCCTCCCACATGCCCCCCAGACCGGGCTCCGCCCCCCAATACCCCGGGCCGTGTGATTGGGCCAGAGCCCACCAAGAACCCCATATACGCTCGCATTACACCTGTTTGAGTTGGGACTCCTCAAACCCGTGTGGTCGGCTTGATTTTTTTTTATGATACTGTTTCCTAACTTTTATTCTTCTATAGAATATTTGCTGTTTTGGAAACATTGTTGTGGTTTCATTTTGGTTTTGCATTGTGTTGTTCATTGAATGCATGATACGGAGCATGCTATTCATATAGAGCTCAGGGTCTGCCACGTTGTTTGTAGAGCATATAAAGTGATAGGGAAATTAAGACCACATTTTCCTATACGATGTTGTCCAGTAGCACACTTGTAGCGCAAGAGTGCTTTTCACTCAATGAATTCCAATTGTTGCTGTAGACGAGTTTAATTTTGTGGATAAATGTTCAACCACCTGAACAGGGATTAACCAATAAGTTTGCAGCATTGTTAAATTAAGGGAGGGAGATTGGGGTTAGAGGGGCAAAATATGATTAGTCAACTGGTACCGCAGACATCCAATTGGGGGGGGGATTTTTAAAAATGAGGGACAGAGGTGGGGGCCAGGAGGTGGCAGAACAATGTTGGTGTGGCTGCCACGGGGAGCAGAGAGGTTGCAATTTACTTATGTCTACTTATGTCTACTTATGTCTACTTATTCTGATGGACCCACAGAGACCCACTGTTGGGGGTAAGTCACTGTTCGCAAGCACCTATGAAGGTTGCCACAACACACGAGGGAAGGTGGGTGGCCAGCACCACACCCGGCCGCCTTTGTCTTCCTAGTGGCGATGTTTACACACCGCAGGAGGTACTATAATCGTCACTGGTGTTGGCCGTGAGCAGGGATTGAACTCGGCTACACCAGGTTCCTAGTGCAGCACACTCACCACTACACTACCGCTCTCCACACTCCCAGGCACGCACAGATACCCACACAAGGAGCTAAACTCATCCTCAGATCTAGTGTACGGTCCAGATCTAGTGGGGGGGTCGGGGAAATAATTTATGAGTTCTCCAATAATTTCTTCCCATTTCCAGCCCTGAGTTTCCATAGAGTTGAAATGTATTATATGTGTAGTGGGTACAGATGGAGACCGAGACTTCTTTTTGGAGGCAACACGATTATTCAATAACAGCCCTAACACAAGGGCTAGTTACTCTAAAACGCGGGTGGCTATCTCGGACCGGCCCCCAGCTTGGGTCTGGGTCCTGTAGTTGGAGCTCCTCTTCCAGGCGACGAGGTGGGGATCTTCATCCAGAAAACAACAGCTGGTGCCACTCAGGGCTCTGGCTTATATTCCCGGTCTCGGGCTCGCACCGCCCCGGGACACGCCCACCTTTTTTAAGCCTCGAGAAGGACCTGTCCCTGGACACGTGGGCCCAGCCCCCTCTTTGGGGGTCCCGGGGTCTGTACCTCGAGACCTCCGGGTTCAACCAGAGTGCCATGGCCCCTCTCAACCCCGTACCCCCCTGGCTCTCTTCCGCCCCCTATCTTTCCGGGGCTGGCACTACATCCAGAGCGCAGTGCCATTCGTAAGCCACTCGCAGGGATATCTGCGACGTCAACATTGCGCCACCCGCTTCACACAGTGTCGTGCAGTGACATCCAGCAATGTCACTACACAAATGTAGTGACATACTAGGCGCCACTAGAGGGCAGCCATAGTACCCAGTGACGGGGGGTGCTGTAGGGGCATGACCCTGGCAACGGTGAGAAAGAGCGCGTGAGGACGTGGCCTTTGGATGAACCCGGGAGGACACGTGACCAGACGAGGTGGAAGGGGCTACCCCCCCAAGGGGGGCGAGAGGGACACGTGATGGGGAACCAGAGCCCTCGAGAAGAATCTGGATTGGGGCGTGGCCAGGGGCGGAGCCACGCCAGAGCGGATATAAGCCGGGGTGGAGAAGCCGGCAGCGTCACCTTCGTTGGAGTGCTGTCGAAGAGAGATGGGGCCCACCCGCCAAGTCTTGGATCCTCGGTCTTCGGGCGTGAGAGAAGTCGTCAAGAGCCGGCCAACGTGTTAGCTGGCCCGGCAGTTTATACAGTGTTCCCATGAATGTTATGGAGCTATCCAGGGTGGTCACCACCCCCAGTCGTTATCCCGTTGAGTGTAGACTTACCTGTTGTGTTAGTGAATAAAACGTGTTGCCTCCATACTCAAGAGTGTGTCTCAATAGAACACATGCAATGACGACTTGACACACTTCTCTTGAGATGTCACTTCATTGAAGACATGTTCACTTGACATCAGGCGGAGATCCTACTGCAACAGCCTCGAGTCTTCCGCGCATCTCCCTTATATACTATCCGAAGCCACGCCCCCCTTCTCGATCATTCTCGTAGCCACCAGTCCCTTCACACTCACAACTTATACCCATGTCATTACCTCCCATGGCTACTAGTCCCCTCACACCACATGCAGGCTCTATTGCCACTACACATATAAAGTTTACACTGGATTAAGGTGATTCCTGTGTTTCCTGGAAATGTATATTATGACAACAACCAGTGTTCACCACGAAGTGGCGGTGATATCACCACGGCGTTTGTGCCAGACTAGGAAAACCTTGAGCCCACTTGAAGTATCGAAGTGCGCTGGTAGGAGGTTAAAGGACAGACTCCGGTGTCATGGGTTAATTGAGATGTGACTGGCAGATGCACCCGGCGTTCGGACACATCGAGTTGCGGCGTTCTCAGTGTTAATGGGGCGTGCGCTGGCGAAGCTCATGTGATGGACTGGATGTGGCAGAATAGAATGGGGAGACCAATAACCTCCCTCACACTCCCCTGAATAAACAAGCGAAAAAATAATTAAAATGAATCATTAATTAAAAACTCACACTCGCCAACAATAATGTGGCCTCATATATAACTGATCACGTTTTGGGCAACCAGTTGCCCTTCCTCATATCACATGGGCCAGAGAGCAAGTGGACAGGAAGAGGAGACAATCAAAACTCGTATCTACGACCGCCTAATGACTGCTACCGATGCCAAGTTAATTGGCGACGAGTCTGCACTTATCATGCGCTGCTTGCTCTTCCGCCGTATGCGAATGTGCAGTATATCCCGAAAGTCTGCAGCTGCGCCGAGAGCGAATGCAGTAGCGTCTCTCTATCAACGCTCTTTCACTTCTTTGTAGTTTTTCTTCAAATTTTGAAAAATGTTCGCCTTTCGCTCCATCTGAGAAGAGGAAATGTGATGCACATGCAGAAAAGTACTTAAGGACTTTCAAATCTAAGTGTTTGTTTTTACTTAATAAATGTTGGTAATGGTAATGTTCAGTTACAATAAATGTTTGTTAGGGTTATTTTCATTTCTTTTGTGGACAATTTTGGTATTTTTATGATATGTAATGGGTTTCCAGGAACAGAACCCTCATGTATAACATTGCGCCTATGGGAAATAAGGCTTCGACTTACGACGTCTTCACTTTCGGCCGTCTCCCAGGAACAAATTAGGTCGTAGGTGCGGGGGTCGCCTGTACCTAATACTTATCCAGTCGTTACCTACAGCACAATACGAGGCAAACCTTTCAAACAAGGGGGCGTAACCCTCCTCCGGCAGTGCATCCTGTGCCGAATCCATCACGGAGTAACCTCGACAGCAGCTATTCGACGGCCACGCTTTCATGAGCCAGATGAGTCGGTTGGCCCCGCCCCTCGACCCTAGGCCCCGCCCGCCGGCCCCGCCCCCCATAGGCACCTCCCACTGAGACCCCCTCAACTTCCGCCACTGCAAACAGCTCCACGCCACTGGCTGCTCTCCGCTCTCCGCCCCTGCCATGTCTGGGATGTCGTCGCGTCTGCTGCGGTTCGGCGGTCGCGCCGCTCCGCGCGCCGCGCCGCGTCTGGCGCGCGGCGCTGCCGCGGGGACTCGGCCCGGGGAGCGGAGCGGCGCGACGGGAGCGCGGGGAGCCGCGGGCGTCCGGAGCGAGGAGCACGCGCAGCTGAGGAGCGCGCTGCGCAAGGTGCGCGCGCCGGTGTGTGTCGGCGTGTGAGTCAGTGTCAGCGTGTGTGTCGGTGTCAGCGTGTGTGTCGGCGTGTGAGTCGGCGTGTGAGTCAGTGTCTGTGTGTGTGTCGGTGTGTGAGTCAGTGTCTGTGTGTGTGTCGGCGTGTGAGTCAGTGTAAGCGTGTGTGCCGGTGTCGGCGTGTGCGTCAGTGTGTGTCTGTGTGTGTGTCGGTGTCAGCGTGTGTGTCGGTGTGTGTGTCAGTGTGTGTCTGTGTGTGTGTCGGTGTCAGCGTGTGTGTCGGTGTGTGTGTCAGTGTAAGTGTGTGTGCCGGTGTCGGCGTGTGCGTCAGTGTGTGTCTGTGTGTGTGTCGGTGTCAGCGTGTGTGTCGGCGTGTGAGTCGGTGTAAGCGTGTGTGCCGGTGTCGGCGTGTGAGTCGGTGTGTGTCTGTGTGTGTGTCGGTGTGTGTCTGTGTGTGTCGTCGGTGTCGGTGTGTGTCGGTGTGTCAGTGTCTTAACGAGTACCTGGTGCGGTGTGTAAACATCAGCACTGGGGAGACAAAGGCGTCCGGGCTAGCAGCGTGGTTGTTGGCCACATCATCACCCCCTCGTGTGCCCTCGTGTGCCGTGCGAGCGGTTCGCAAGCGCTTTCAGCAGCACTTGCCCCAACAGTCGTTGAAGAACACTACACAGGAGGTTGGGGGATCTTTGTGTCAGTGAGTGTGTTGGCCTCGATGTGAACCTAGTCTGGCACAAACGACGTAGTGACGTCAACCGGTGGCGAATGTCGCCTGTTTGTTACTGTGTGTAGCTGTGTGTCGGTGTGTGTCGAGATGCCAGAGGCAGTGTCAAGGTTAGGGCGCCGTGCGTCATTGTGCACGTGTCTGTGTGGAGTGTTACACGAGCGGCGGGAGGTCTCGCACTTTGTGTGAACTCTTTGTGCTGTGCCAATTGCCTTGGTTGTTTGCGGCTCGTTCCAGGTGGTTAATATGCACTGATTACGAACGTTCTCAGGGAACAGTCAATACGCACAACAGATTTTCTTTTTTACACATCCCATCATCCACACAGCTGTCTGGGAAGTGCTTCAGTAAAACAGCGTTGGTTCAACACAAGTAGACATTGGACCGGTTTCAGCATTCAATGTTTCATCAGCTGCTATGTTGCTTTTCCTTGCTACATTCACTCTTACAAAAGCGACCTATGCAGCTCTCGCTGGTCTTTAATTCATCATTCTGATCTCGAGCTTCCTTCAATATCACACGCGTGCGTGGCTATTATTGTCTTGCTCTCATAGCTTGACCCAACTTGGCATTCTTTGTAGAGTTCTTAAAATAAATTGAGTTAATTTATGGTTCGCTATGGTTTTTGTGTGTATGCATGTAGTCCACAGTGTGGAATACGTTGAAATCCCCCCCAATCGGCAGTATTGCGAGTTCGGATCCTGTTTGGGGGTTTACTCGGCCCATCATACCATCATAACTGTCGACGTCTGGCTCAGGACCGTAAACAGAAGATGAGCAACACATCCGTTCTGATTTGAACACATCCCTCTGACTTTAGACTTAAGCAGAATAATAAGAACATTGAAGGCAGCCATTAACTTGCAGTCACCTTTTCAACGTAGTACAATTTGTAATTTGTCTTTACTATATTATGCTATACATCAATACATGGGTTGCAGTATATTAGGTAAAGTTATATAGTTGTTAAAACGTGGATTTCTATTACCTATGTCCGTGTAGCTGTTTAATAGCAAAATCCAATGCTAAAAGTGTTTTAACTTTGGCCTACTTCAGGTGACGTGTGGAAAGATACTCCAGCACAACAACACGACCTTTACGATCCCCACACTCCCTGCCGAGCCAACCACAATCGCACACGCAACTCCTGCCAACCACCCACCCATCCACACACAGCTGCTGACCACCAAAGAGAAATATCACCCGGATAGCCTTAACAGACTGTTGGGGCAAGTGCTGTTAGCGAGCACCTATGAAAGTTGGCATGGCACACGAGGGGGGTGGGTGACCGGCACCACGTCCAACCGCCTTTGTCTCCCCAGTGGTGATGTTTACACACTGTACCAGGTACTCATTTGAGGCTGAGTCAACCTAGGGGAAGCCCAGGACCAGCTCAGATAATCGTCAGTGGTGTTGGCCCATGAACGGGAATTGATCTTGGTTCACCAGGTTAGTAGCGCAGTGCGCTGACCATTACACCACCGCTTCCCGCCCACCACCTACCCATCCACACACAGCTCCTGCCCAACACTTACCCATTCACACGCAGCTCCTGCCCACCACCTACCCATCCACACACAGCTCTTGCCCACCACCTACCCATCCACACACAGCTCCTGCCCACCACCTACCCATCCACACACAGCTCCTGCCCACCACCTACCCATCCACACACAGCTCTTGCCCACCACCTACCCATCCACACACAGCTCCTGCCCACCACCTACCCATTCACACACAGCTCCTGCCCACCACCTACCCATCCACACACAGCTCCTGCCCACCACCTACCCATCCACACACAGCTCCTGCCCACCACCTACCCATTCACACACAGCTCCTGCCACCACCTACCCATCCACACGCAGCTCCTGCCACCACCTACCCATCCACACGCAGCTCCTGCCACCACCTACCCATTCACACACAGGTCCTGCCCACCCAACCACACACAGCTCCTGCCCACTACCTATCTAACCACACGCAGCTCCTGCCCACCAATAACCGCTATTCGCCACTAAGTGACGGTAACGTCATCACTGTGCCAGGCCAGATGTACTTTGAGTCTACATGAAGTGTTGAAGGCTCCCTGACAGGAGGTCACGGGACAGACCCAGGTGCCACAATTGGTTCTGCTATATATAAATTGGCACAATACAAAGTAGGGCAACTCTTCCTCTTTTATGAAAAACTGTAATTAAGCTACTTAACTTAATCCTAATTATATTCTGGTTAGTTTTAATGTGATTTCACTGTTTATCAAGCTCCCAATTGATTAATCAAGATACTCAATGCTCTAGTCTAGTTAATAAAATGAACATTCCTCGACTTACGAACATAATTAGGTCCTGTGGCCCATTCGTAAGTCGAACGATTTGCAAGTTGGAACACTAATATGCTGTATTTAATTGCCCCTACGGTCAGTGATTTGAAATGGGTTATGGTTCAACAAAAAAGGGAAACATTTTTAACTCATAAATAAAAATAAATATTGTACATTTTCATGTAATACTGTAAAAAAATACTTTATAGTAAATGAAACATAAAATAAAGTAATATGAATAGAAAAAAAATCTGTTTTATTTTCACTTACTTTGAGTCCTGATGCTGGCTTGCTTGTTGGAAGGGGCACAATGAGTAAACACAATTATAAACACAATTGCACACACACAAGCATACGGGGCACGTGCACGCGCACACAAAAACGGAGACATGCAGACACAAAGACACGCAGACACAAAGACGCACACAAAGACAAGACAAAGGCAGACACAAAGACGAACACACACTGGGCACGCACACACACCAATACCAATACCCGCCAATCGTCACTGAGAGACGGTAACATCACCACGGTGCCTGTGCCAGGCCAGGTGCACTTTGAGGTCACATGAAGTGTCAAAGGCCCGCTGACAGGAGGTCACGGAGCAGACTCAGGTGCCATCGGCTGACTGACTGGCAGATGCGCCAGCTGTGCCCCCTACTGTGCCAACTTGCTGCATCTTAGCCACCCAGCGCTCCACTTGGTGTTGTGAGCATTGCTCCTCTGCCCTCGGTTGTTGTTGGAGAGCAACTGCCTCCAACTGACCAGTATTGTTCTCCACTAGTCTTCTCCATAGAGGCCGATCTTAACACCGCTGGTACTGGTCTTTGGCAAGTCCACCCAGCTGCACATTTTCCGTCTACCGCATGAGTGCATCTCTTCTCTAGCCGGAATCGTGCCCGTTTAGCCCTCTCTATCCGGCCAAACAGAAGCTGCTTGGGCATGCGGTGGTTGGGCATGCGGGCTACAAGACCCAGCCAACCCACCACCTACCCATCCACACACAACTCCTGCCCACCACCTGCCCAACCACACAGCTGCTGCCCACCACCTACCCATCCACATACAGCTCCTGCCCACTACTGAGCTAATCAGACAGCTCCTGCCCATTACTTTCCCAACCACACACAGCTCCTGCCCACCACGTACCCATCCACATACAGCTCCTGCCCACTACATATCCAACCACACACGGCTCCAGAGAGGAGGTCTCGTTAAACAGGTGGTGGGATCTTCAAACCAGAATACCTCTACTGTGAGTTCCTGACCTCCAAGAGCAAGGGAATTTTAGAGCCTGGGCTCCCTACAAATAAAACCCCAGTGATGATCCCAGGTTCAAAGCCTGCAGTGCAGTATGTTTTGTAGGGGCACGATTGGTAGATTTCAGAGATCTTAGTGGAGTGTGTGGCTGAATAATTTCATGAATAAGGTGAATCGGGCCTATTTAAAACCTTGAACACAAGTTGGACTATCTTAAAATCAATGCGGATTTGAACTGGGAGTCAATGCAGAGACACGAGCACAGGTGTAATATGGAATGCTGTGCCCAGTGTAGATTGTACAACCTGTGCAACTGACTGTAGCCAACATTCCTACTCATCATCATGGAGATATACACACAAACAGAATAGCATGCATGGTTTGATGATGCGACATTGGTAGTAGTACACAGGCACAAATAACTGAACACATCCATCAATCACATTGCAGCCTTAAAAGGAAAATAAATGTAAGTAGCATTTCGGGCAATAGCCCTTCTTCATAGCACATACACCATCTCATCATGTGATTTAGAGATGTAAATGTATACACTGTGGTAAAATGATAGATATGACACCGACCTGATACCACGCGCCACACTTACCACTCGCCATATACCTCTCACATCACTGTAGTAGCATGTGAACTATTATTCGGTCAGGTGGCTCGGTGGTAGAGCAAGCGGCTTGCAATTGGCAGCTTGTGAGTTCAAATCCTGCTTGGGGGTTGACTCAGCTCATCAATCCTTCAGGGGGGATTTTGTGGGGAAGTCAACAGTGGCTGGAAACTTGTATCCACCATAGAAACGTAGAATGTACAGCACTGGATTAGGGCTGGAAACAGGAGATGAGCAACCAATACAGAAATGCTAATTTTAGCAGCAGGAGATTATTTAGATTTTGCTTTGACTTGATCGTAATTCTTGTCTGATGCCTGACAAAAGTAAAATTTTTCTGTTGATCTGATGCCGACTCGATGTTGCCGTTGTGTCGCTGCAGTTGATTGAAAAGGAGATTAATCCTCACGTGGACAAGTGGGAGGCTGAGAAAAAATTTCCAGCGCGACAGATTTTCAAAATTCTGGGGGATGCTGGCTTCCTTGGCGTAAATAAGCCCACAGGTAATGACTACAGCACACTGCAATGATATATTGTATAGCACTACAAGTGCTAATTGTTACCCACTATACTGTTGATATTGCGAATGTAACACTAAATTCACACTTAGGCTTTCACACAACCAATATGGTTCATAATTGAATTTGGGTAAAATCGTGAGTAAAATGCCAATGCGTGTCGCAAACTCTCCTTTACCTAACAACCAAATAAAGTTATTGCATAAGAAAATGGGCCAATATTTTTTTCTGCACACCGGTATGTCGGAAAGAAAACCACAACATTCAACAATTTCCGATGATGTTTTGCTAGTAGTTGCAACCACAGCATGATCAATCAGGCCACTGCCAGAATTGTGAAGCTCTTCTCCAGTCTTGGGCATAGGTGGTGTGATGTCATCAGCACGTTCCCACAAAAGCAGTCAAGAGCAGATAGTCATCCCCATAAGGTGAATGTGTTCACTTGAGACCGTCTGTTGTCGGCGGCACTACTTAGAATAGTTGGTAGGCTGTCTGACTAACAGCACCCTGGGATGGTGAAGACGGAGACGACGACAAGAAGAATGGTGACGACGACGAGATGGTGACAATGATGGACTTGAGCAGCACGATGGGGATCCCACTTCCAGCAACAGCCACGAGGTCCCCCACAGCGGCCCCTCTTATACTCTCAGCGTGGCCTCGCTCCACCCCGGGCCACGCCCCCTTTCTGGAACCTACTAGCGAGTTCCCGAGGCATCCCGATGGGCCCCTACTGTGACCTTTGCCCGAGATCTCCCCCTCTCGTGTATTTCATGGCCTGCTGACTTCAGTACTGCCATACAGCACCGTTCCCCTTTTTCGCCAGCAGCCAGTGCTATGCCACTACCTCACCCCCCCTCATGAAAAAAAAAAACAGCCGTCTTTGCTGACAACAATCACATAAGGAGAGGGGGAAGGCTTATAATAATGTGTGCTAACGCAATTTGCCTAACAGGGAGGGTTAACGGACATCAGAAAAAAAACCCCTTAACTATTAACCCCAAACCGCGAGGGAAGCGTATTAATTCCCGATGTCCGCCGGCATGCCACAGCCCATGAGCATCGGGAAGGACCCCAGATCAACCGGAAGCCACAGCCCGGCGCGTGGCTGCGGCCACCCGCCAGATGACATCAAAATTCAATTGAACGACGGGAAGCGAGTGGTTCAGCGGAACGAAGCGCTTTTGGAGCGAGTCCTTGACGCTGGTCCCCCATCTCCAGCAGGAACTTGCATCCTGGGGACCACCGGGACATCACACAAACAACCTAAAGGGTGTGGCCCCTCCCTGGGAGAAGAAGATGGCGACTGGGCCTCCACACGCGGTCAATCACACGGAGGCGCTGTCGGTGGATTTCCGGACTTCAGGTGCTTTGATCCTGTGGGCGGTACAATGCATTCCTCCTGAAGAGCAACTTCCGGGCTCATTCGCCCCAGCTTGTCAGACACATCAGACACCCACCGCTCTGGAGATGGAGATGAACCGTCAACATAAGGTGGAACATAGGGTTTTAACTGTGACGGGTGCACAAACCAGCGACGGCGAACGACTTGTATACGTACGCACTGCGGCCTCTTGAACTCACACCAGGGCCCTGCTGCGGCCGGTGTAATTTTTAGGGGATGTACTCAGGGGCACCTGGGGACAATGCAGCCAAGCCTTGTTTCCAGCGGTCCATGGGGTCCCAGACTTTCGTTGTCCTACGAGCTTCTCATTCGCGGCCTGCCGTTTGGCCAAATTTCCCTGATACGCCTCCTACGCCTCCGTCAAACGCCTAAACATGACCTGCATGGGCATGATGGCTCTCTTTTTACCCAAATCCATGCCCAACTGTTGAGGCATTAGGGGCCATCCTATATGTGGCCAGGACACCGGGGATGTACAAGTCCCAGTCCAACTGCGCCTCATTAACTTGTTGGCACAACATGGATGTAAGGGTCCTGTGCAAGCGCTCCAACATCCTGTCCATCTGAGGATGGTAGGGTGGTCCTAATTTTTTTTGGTTCCCAGGGAGTCACACACCTAACGTAACAATTTAGAAGAAAAATGCCGCCCCTGGTCTGTAAGAAGTTGTTCAGGAGCCCCCTTGTCCATGACTTAGCTGTGCAAAAACACATCCGTAATGGATGCTGCTGACTGGTTTGGCAGAGGCCATGCCACCGGCCACTGCAACAGGTATTCCACCCTGACCAGGAGAAATGTATTATCCCTCTGAGTGGCGGGGAATGGCCCGAGAATGTCCAGCGCGACTAGCTCATTGATACGAGACACCGTGATTGATTGTAATGGAGGCTGGACCTGCCTCGACGGTGGCTTGCGGCGTGCGCAGTCATTACAACCTTTTACCATGTGGTATACATCGTCCGTCATCCTGGGCCAATAGAAGTCACGCTTTAGTGTTAGCAAGGTTTTACGGACTCCGAGGTGCATTAATTTCTCATGGACCGCCCGTGTGAGTTTACCCCATAGACAGTCGGCACCACCATGCAATAACACTGCAGCTCTTCATCCCATCTCATCAAAAGTCCTCCCCCTCCCCCCACCATAGGGATAACACACACCCTTCATGGGTGCACAGTATTATTATTAAGACCGTCTATTATCGGCGGCACTACTTAGAACAGTTGGTAGGCTGTCTGACTAGCAGCGCCCCAGGATGGTGAAGATGGAAACGACGATGAGAAGAATAGTGATGACTGACAAGATGGTGACGATGATGGATTTGAGCAGCACGACGCGGATCCCACTTCCAGCAACAGCCACGAGGTCCCCCACAGGGGGGCCCCTCTTATACTCTCAGCGTGGCCTCGCTCCGCTCCGGCCACGTCCCCTTTCTGGAACCTACTAGCGGGTTCCCGAGGCTTCCCGATGGGCCCCTACTGTGACCTTTCTCTTAAATCTCCCCCTCCTGTACTGCCGCACACCGCAGTTCCTCCAGCAGCCAGCGCTATGCCACTACACATATACAAATAAACCTTGGATTGCGAGTAACTTGGTCTGCGAGTGTTTTGCAAGACGAGCAAAATTTTTTAATAAATATTAATTTGATAAACGAGCGATGTCTTGCAATACGAGTACTGTAGTACGTACAGTATACGCTTTGTCTGCCGAGCGTCACGTGATCATAACTGAGCCAATGGTTCTTCTCTCTCTCGCTGCGGGATTGTGGGTAATCGTCTCCCATGCTCGGTCTCAGTCGGCGTGCCTCACTCGCATAGTCAACATCCGTGCGAGCGTATACTGTTTACTATAGTGTTGTGACCACGAGTGTGTGCGTAAAGCATTTTTTTTATTTTGTGTCCAAGTGTAGTGACTGTTCTTTAGTAGCTGTACTGCAAGTGAAAGTCGTCCTACACAATAACCCTCCTCTCTCTCTCTCGTCTCCCTCGTCTCCCTCACACCAGCCACGATTAAATGTAATTAATACATTTGATTACTTTATATGAAATTTAACTAACAAAAATATAATAAGGTATTTTATATTAATCATTTTTATTTGAATACAGTAAGTTTGGATTGTGGAACGAATCATCTGAGTTTCCATAATTTCTTATGGGGAAATTCGCTTTGATATACGAGTGCTTTGGATTACGAACACGTTTCCGGAACGAATTATGCTCGCAATCCAAGGTTTTACTGTATAAGGAATTTTCAAATGTAAGGTGCATTATTTTACGCTTCCAGGCCGCACTAAGCGCGGTTAAAATAATGTATATTTCTCTCATTTTCAATAGATTGTCGAATTAGTCTGGGCCAGTCATAATTACTTTTATATATCACTTCAACGTTATCAAAATCATTTGAATGTTCTTGCTGGCAAGCATGTTCTGCAACTGCCGACAGTTGTGTTTGTGAGTATTATATTTATTTAGTGTTCTTTAAGTTTTACGCTAATATTATGTCCTGTCTGTCCAACGTAACATTTACCACACGAGCAATTAATCCGATACACACGTTCTGTTGATAACTTTGGCAATTAATCTTTAGTACAAAATACTAGTTTTTGAATTTTGTGTACCATGCCAAATCTTATTAATATTTTTTTGTTTTTACGAAACTCTAATAACATGATCACTTTCAGCATTATTGCTGATTGATCTTGGTTTGGCATTCAATACTATGTTAATTTCAGCATTATTGTAGCCAATTAATTAAAATCTTCTTTAACATGTTTAATCTCACTCAGATTTTCACCATCTGACACTCTTTTCACCCAAGGTATGAGCGTCTTGATGAGAGAGGATTTCTGTGCATGGGGTGATGATGCGAACCTGCATTCAGATAGGCATCAGTGTGGTGTGTGTTATTTTACCATTTGGGCTGCGTCCGAGCAAAATATCCAGGAATGGGAGTGTGTTATCCATCTCCACGAATTCACAAAACCCGGCCATTCAGTTCACCATGGAAGTGCAGGTGGATAAAGATGATTTGCCAAAGGCTTAGTGTGGCCTGGAATCGTATTAAGTAATACACCTTACAATTGTATTCCTTCTGTAATGCGAGCGTAAGCGGGGTTTCGCTGCTCGGCTCTGGGCCAATCATACGGCCCAAGGTATTGGGGGCAGGGCCCAGTATGGGGGCGTATGTGAAGGTCCGCCGCTCACCTCCGGTCCAATCGGACGTGAAGAGAGCAGGGGCGGAACCTAAAGTCCGGTGAAGGGCGTGGTGAGAGGGAGGAGACAGGATCACGTGGTGAAGGGAATATAGGTGGGATCCAGGAAGGGCTCCGGGTCAGTTGGTGGAATCACGAAGCAGGACCACGTTGGGTGGCCAGAGGGTACCCGCGCCATCAGCCACGTGGCTGGAGACGCTTCGAGCACACCGTCGGCCAACGGTGTGCGGGAGCGGGGAGCAGTGCGACTGACGGAAGGGCGCGTGAGGAGCAGCCGGTCCGCTGTCGGGACCAGCGGAATGCGAGCGTCAACGAGGATAAAGAGAGACGGAGACCCAGCAGTGTGTCGTCGAAGTCCTTTATTACACTTGTAAAGGCAACACGTGCTAATCAACTGTGATTACCGATCTATTGTAGAAAAATTACAATACCCCCCTCTGCGCTCCCCACCTGATTAGCTCACAGTAATAACATCATCTTGCTCTATTTAAGACCAGAAGCAGGTGGATTGCTTCACTATTCTGCCACATCGCCCGATGATGCTGGATGTAGTGAAACGTCGTACTCAAATTGTGAATGTTGTGGATTTACTCTCCAACACACCGGTGGGCTGAAGTAGTAACTAATTGGCACGTTTGTTTACGTGACAAACCTTACTGGCTGTGTTGGGTGGTGGAGAGTTACCACATATACTTGCGCAATATAACCCAAAAACCTTTATTATCAACACAGCATTACGCATGTACACACAAATAGACACACTCCAACGATCCCCCATATATCCTTAACAGGCCGTTGAGGCAAGTTCTGTGAGTGTGCAGGGACTATGAAGACCGGCACGGCACACTCAGGGGTTGGTGGCCAGCACCACCCCAGATATTAATTTTAGGCTGAGTCAACCTAGGTGAGGCCCAAGACCGGTTGGATGATCGTCACTGGTGTTGACCATGAGCGGGAATGGAACTCAGGTCGCTGGGTTCATAGCGCAGCTGGCTAACCGCTACACAAGACGAGGTGTGATAATACTAGAGGCGTTTGCCCTGTCTGTCTGTTTGGTGCCTGCTAAAAAAATATCACGTTAAGTGTTAGAAAATTATTTACGAGACATACCTACTATAATCACCCAGGAACGTCACTGCACATCGACCATCCCTTATTAATATTCATGAGCAGGGAACGTCCTCCAAATGGACACCTCCACACCCCTCAGTCATAATCATCAGTGGGTGACGTCACACTTTGGAGTACTCCCCCCCCCCCCTTCACTAATAATCATGAGCAAGTGACATCACTCCACATCGAACAGCCCCCTTCATAATAATCATGAACAGGTGACATCCTCCAAATGGACACCCTCCATTAATAATAATTAGTGGGTGACGTCACTCCACATGCGTGGGCGAGGCACCTCCTCCCCCCTCCTCAACATAAACGAATAACCCTCACTACAAAGGCAGAACCCTCACGTCACGCGTTCTCCGTAACGCTATTGAGACATACAAGTAAAAATGACGTCATGATGAACAAGGGATTATAACCTTAAAATTAAATAGGTCTGTGTCACCGCGCCCTTACAAAGTACACACGCATTGATGCAGTGAATATCACGTCGTGGTCTGCTTTTCACTTGCAAATTTCAGATTTACTGCAATACACCCGTCCTTAGACGGGCAAAAGGCTAGTGTTTTGAAATTATTCAGACCTGAGGTTATTATCTTGTTGTAATCAGTGGATCCTGGTGTGATGGTGAGTAGAAGGCTAATGTCGTCTGCATAGGAGTGATGTTGTAATCCAAGGTTTGTTATTAGAGTGCATCATGGTTGAAGAGTCATCGTAGGATAGAGCCTTGAAGGACCCCACAGGGAATGGGGTTGTGGGGAGTGGTGGCGTACCGGTTAGTGCACTGCGCTACGAACTTGGCGAGCCGAGTTAGATTCCTGTTCATGGCCAAAACCAGTGACGATTATCTGGACTGGTCTTGTCTTTATGTGCAGTTGTTAAATGTGAGTATAGTGGTGTTTTTTTTACATCATTAGTTAACCGCGTGAAAACTGTGTGATACAAAAGTCACTACAGAGTCTTTTTGAGTCTGGTGTCGTCTACAGTGTCAAAATTGCTGTGAGGTCATGGATGATTGCATTGGGTTGTCTGATTATCCATATTTCGTTGTGCATAGTCCGGTGTATTAAGGCTGTTTCTGTACTACAGTTGGTGTGAAAACTTGATTGGTTTGAATAGAGGTTGTTTAATTTCATGTGCTGTTGGAATTTATTTCCCAGTATTTTTTATAGGAAGAGTAAATGAGACAGGGGTCTGTAGCTATTTGGGTTATTGATGTCGATTCATGTGTTTTTAGCAGTGGTATGATCTTTCATTCTTAAAATGTGCTAGGAATCTTACCAGTGGATAATGAAAGACTCATAAAGTGTGTGATTGCTGAAGTGAGTGTCAGAAGAGCTTGTAGTGTAGGAAAGGTTAGCCAGGGGTCAGTATTTGTTGTGTCGTGGGTTTAGCCTGTTTGATGTTGGTGCCACATCTTCTGGCCGCCATAGATAGTTGACCCAAAACAGCTAGATCCTTCGATATTTCACGTGGTCTCAAACTGCACCTAGCCTTGCACAAGTACCCTCGCGATGTCACTGCCACTTTGTGGCAAATGGCAGCTGTTATTGTCAAATGTTATGGGGAGCTGGTGGATGCAAGTCGTTGGGCTGTGTTTAATGGCCCAAGCTCTGAGTTGTGTTTTTCGTCTCCACCAGAGTATGGAGGGCTTGGACTTGACTTCTCCTACAGCATCGCGGTGGCTGAGGAACTGGGCAGCATCCGCTGTGGTGGAGTTCCCATGGCGATCGGAGTACAAACGGACATGGCTACACCAGCGCTCGCAAGGTATTATTAAGCTTTATGTTTGTGTGAGTATGCATATGCTGACTTTAAACATTCTACTATTGCATCGCAAACTCTATGGCTCAGTAATGTAGGTGCTGGTAAGTCTGTGAGCATTTAGCTAAGTAATATGATTGCAATTGTGTACCCAGGCATGCCTCAAGGCTTATTTCACAAGGGTCCTGCTATTTTTCACAGGAGCGGGTGACGAATTCGACTATTTGTTTTCCAATTAAGCAATTTTCGAGTACTTTTTAAAATCGACAAAACTTGGACCAAAGTGCCAGTAGAAACGAGTCAACGTAATTTCCTGTTCAAATGAGCATTGCTCATCTCCTGTTTCCAGTGCTGTGCAAATGGTGGAAATCCCTCATTCCCATGGTGAGGGCGAGTCTCTCGTAGGACAATGACTGTTGATTTCCCCACAAAGTGGTACTGATTTTATCATCCCAGAAAGATGATTGGCTGAATCCACCCTGAACCGCAATTTTAACTCTCAACTTTCCGATTGCAAGCCACTTGTGCTACTGCTGGACTACCTGGCCAATTCACCTGAATTTCGGTGAATATAAGTTGTGGGTAACAGGGTCAGAGGCAAGAGGAATTTCACTGACCTGTATTAACAACTCTGTGTATGTCCAATCAGGTGAGAATGATTAAACTACATATTATCGTGCATGAATGCCCATTATTATGTGTAATGTCTGGGCTTTTCTGTGTGTATTGCAGATAAGGAGATTACATTACACACATGGCACTGTCTAGTGTTGGGAAGAATCATAGTTATTGTGTGTATCGTGTTTTTTTAATAATTGGAGTTGGTCAAACATTTCGATTTAAAGCTTTCGTGACTGCAGGGATTCATATTATTGGATCTATCAGTAAAGTCACGTAGAAGGGAAATAATAAAATAATAAAAATAAAACAATAAAATTATCACGCTGTTTCGGCTACAAAACAAGCAGCCGTCCTCAGGTGAAGACCAGAGCTGTCGGAAAGACAGCGTCCTAATGAACACTGCTAAGCTTGGCAGCGTATTTTAAGCTGGGTGGAAGGAGCAGAGCGCCTTGACAAAGGAGTTTACATATCAACAGAGGAATTTAGCATATTGACGCTAAAGAACTGCTTCTACCTTATTACCATACAATAAACCGATGTGAAAAAACTAGGAATAAACTACATCAATATAATCAATGTACTCAATATACTCTCCAATAAGCTGAGCTATTAACATTAAGTAACCGGGTATACGCTACACAATATAATAACTACCATATAGTGAACCGATAAAAACTAAAATATAAACTACATAAATATAATCAATATACTCAATATACTCTCCAATAAGCTGAGCTACTAACAATTAGTCATTATACATTACACTTCTATGTCGCAAAAAATATTATATGCCTCCAACTAAACTTTTTTCTACATCACGCGACTATACCCTGTACTTTACACTGCCATAGACAAACCCCAATATTGAATTATACACTGCGTTACTATACACTACCCTATACCTTAGACTATACATTGTAATATTACACTGTATTATTCGACAAACCCTACTGTATACCACACTGCTGTATATTCACTATACCATTACGATACTATGTATTATCTTATACATTATATTAAACATTACACTATTATACTCTTTATTATTATACAATCTGCTGTACACCATACCATTGACCGTCGCGTGAAAGGTACTAAGAGGAAGCAAAGAAATATGTAATGGGAGAGTGGTAGCAGGTAACTTCCAGCGAATGGACTGCGGTCTGAAAGTCACCGTTAACGTGAACACAATACAATGATTGTTGAGCCAGAATACATCTTCTCAGTTGAAATTGTCTCTGTGTTTGTATATGTGGATGGCCTCATGAACGAATCTCTCATGGTAGCCGGATGGCTTGCAGAGAACCTCCGTCTTGGAGAAGTCAATGTCATGTGAGCCCACTGAATTATAACAATGGTCGGCCACGGCTGAGGTGTTCGTCCTACCGTGTTTCAGGTCTGCTTTATGTTCACGGATGCGGTCCGAGACATGTTGTTTGGTTTCTCCAATGTAACTGCTACCACAGAGGCAACTTAGTTTGTAGACGCCAGGGTACTGTATGTCTGGAACCACATTTTACAGACGGGACCAGATCACGGATTTTATGTACTGTGTTGAATCGGTCCTGGAACTTGTTTTATTCAGGATTTTGGAGATATTTTTTGTGATGTAGGGTCAAGTGATGGTTTTGAATGGCTCCTCAAGAGGATCCTTCATGGTTGGAGTGATGGCTTTGCGGATTGTGTAGTCAGAGTAACCATTAGCCTTGAGAGCTTGGTATACATGCTTGAGTTCACTGGCAATGTGTTTCTGGTCGGAGATGCATTGGGCTCTATGGTGTAGAGTCTTGATGTGGGAATTCTTCTGGGATGGATGGTGGTGGGAATCCGGTTTTAGGTAAGCATCCGTATGGGTAGCTTTCCTATAGATAGAGTGGCTCATTGAATCATCAGGTCTCTTTTTTATTAGAACATCCAAAAAGGGTAGCTTGCCATCTTTTTCGACTTCCATGGTAAATCTGATGGCTGGGTGTATGGAATTGATGTGGTCGAGGAATTGGTCTAGAGCAGGCCGGCCATGTGGCCAGATGACAAAAGTGTCATCCACGTACCTCTTCCATAAGGTCGGGCGTAGAGTGGCAGTCTGGATGGCGTCAGTCTCAAATTTCTCCATGAAAACGTTGGCTACAACCGGAGATAGTGGGGAGCCATTGCGGTGCTCTCAGTTTGTTTGTAGAAAGTTCTATTCCAGGTGAAGTATGTATGTAAAGACAATTGGACTGTCCTGAACTACCCCTTCCCACCCAAGAGGCCCCTATCCGGCCCCACACCACAGAGACAACTATCTCTATTCAGGAGGGAGAAGTTAAAAGACTTTTCAAAAGGCAGAACTCACGCAAAGCAGCTGGGCCGGACTCCGTCGCTCCAGCCACCCTCAGGCACTGCGTGGACCAGCTGTCTCCGGTGTTCACCAACATCTTTAACACCTCCATGGAGACATGCCATGTACCAGCCTGTCTCAAGTCCTCCATCATCATTCCAGTGCCCAAAAAGCCAAGGCCAACAGGACTTCTTCTTCTTCTTGTTCGTCCATCAAAGTTGATGATGACCATGGCACGTTTGTCATTTTGTTGGGTTTTGATGAGTGCGCAGATGGCTGAAGAGGCCAATCCGAGCACGGAATTCCCTGTGGCACACTGGACAGGTCAGGGAGGATGTAGAGCTCTGAGGTGCAGCCACACGTCCTGCCTTGGTAGATTTGCGCTGCTGCCTCTTCAAGATAGCACAGGAGCGTCTCCTACTCTCACAGAGGACTGCACCGTCCTGTACTTTTCTTCTCCAGGCAGGTTGGTCCTGTGCTAGGGATTCCCAGCTTTTCAGGTAGAATCCAAAGCTCTTCAAGGAAGCTTTAAGGGTGTCCTTAAAGCTTCCTTAAGGCCAACAGGACTAAATGATTACAGACCCATTGCCCTTACCTCCGTGGTATTGAAGACTTTTGATCGCCTGGTCCTGGCACACCTCAAAGCCATCACAGGCCCTCTACTTGGCCCCCTTCAGTTTGCCTACAGAGCCAACAGGTCTGTGGATGACGCAGTTAACATGGCTCTCCACTTCACCCTACAGCATCTGGACTCCACAGCATCCTACGCCAGGATCCTGTTTGTGGACTTTAGCTCGGCTTTTAACACCATCATCCCTGCCCTGCTTCAGGACAAGCTCTCCCTGCTGAACGTGCCAGACTCCACCTGCAGATGGATCACAGACTACCTGTCTGACAGGAAGCAGTGCGTTAAGCTGGGATCACAAGTTTCTGCCTCCAGGTCCATCAGCACCGGATCTCCTCAGGGCTGCGTCCTTTCCCCTCTGCTCTTCACCCTGTACACCAACAGCTGCACCTCCAATCACCCGTCCGTCAAACTCTTGAAGTTTGCAGACGACACCACCCTCATTGGGCTAATTTCTGATGAGGATGAGTCTGACTATAGGAGGGAAGCTGACAACCTGGTGACCTGGTGTAGCCAGAACAACCTGGAGCTTAACGCTCTTAAGACCGTGGAGATGGTTGTGGACTTCGGGAAGAATACAACAGCCCCACTCACCCCCAACTTCCTTTGCGACTGCCCAGTCAACAATGTGGAGTCCTTCCGCTTCCTGGGCACTATTTTTTCCCAGGACCTCAAGTGGGAACTGAACATCAGCTCCCTTATCAAGAGAGCTCAACAGAGGATGTACTTCCTACGGCAGCTGAAGAAATTTAATCTGCCAAAGACAATGATGGTGCACTTCTATACAGCCATCATTGAGTCCATCCTCACCTACTCCATCACCGTCTGTTACGCTGCTGCCACTGCCAAGGACAAGAGCAGACTGCAGCGTATCATCCGCACTGCTGAGAAGGTGATTGGCTGTAATCTACCAACCCTTGAGGACCTGCACACTTTGAGGACCCTGAGGCGAGCGAGGAAGATTGTGGACGATTCCTCTCACCCTGGATACTCTCTGTTCCAGCTACTCCCCTCTGGCAGAAGGCTGCGGTCCATCAAGACCAAAACCTCACGTCATAAAAACAGTTTCTTCCCATCCGCTGTTGGCCTCTTCAACAAGGCCAAGGGCTTAAAATGACTTACACTTAAAATGACTTTTACACTTACTATAACATTTTACCTACATAATTACACCTTTCCATACTTACAACGTGTAATCTTATTTGTATTTTTGTATTTTAAGATTGTTTATTACGGTTAATTCACATCTTACATTTCACATTTTATATGGTTTACTTATTAATAATTTTACAAATTTTAGCCCCTTAGTATTAGTTATACTTTGTAACGTTAGTATAGTTAGAGTTTTTTAAGATTCCTATATGTTAAATGTATGCACCGTCCTGCCATAGAGAATTCTTTGTCTGTGCAAACTTACATGGCGATTAAAACCGTTTATGATCTGATTTCTGATTCTGATTATTGGTTAAGCAGTGTCTCACCAGGGGGGTACTACCTCAGTGTTCAGTCCTTGATGAACCAAGTCTTCAATTATTGCAATGGTGTCAAGTACAGGAACTTTGGTGAATAAGGAAACCACATCAAAACTGACAAGCAGGTCGTCTGGGGACAGGGAAATACCCTTGATTGTTGATACCAGGTGAGTAGAGTTTAGTACCCCAGAGGTGGTTTTTCCCGTGTAAGGCCGCAGGATTTCAGACAAAAGGCGCTCTGCTCTTCCCACCCAGCTTAAAATACCCTGCCAAGCTTAGCAGTGTTCATTAGGACGCTGTCTTTCCGACAGCTCTGTTCTTCACCTCAGGACAGCTGCTTATGTTGTGGCCGAAATGTCGTGAGAATTTATGTTTTATTTTTTATATTTTATTATTTCCCTTCTACGTGACTTTACCGAAGGATCCAAGAATTTGGTCAAACATCCTGATAAAGAACCACAGAGCTTGGACAATTGTTGGTAGCACCCGTGCTGGCTGCCTTCCTGTTTGTCTGGTTTCCTTTGGATTAAAATAAAAAATGTACACGTTACATATTGTACAGCATTTTCATCTGCAATTTGCGTGACTGATGCTATATATGAACATAATTCTTCATGCCAATTGGATATGTTGCTGTAAAGGGCATGGTATTGCACTATGTTAATGCCCCACCTCCCTGTGTGCCCATGGATTACAGGTTTGGTAGCGATGAGCTACGAAGAGAGTTTTTAGCGCCAACTATTGCTGGTGACATGGTGGCATGTGTTGGTGTGAGTGAGGTTACTGGAGGATCAGACGTTGCAAGTAAGTCCATCTTATTGTATATTGCTGCTTTAAGAGCTATTTTGGTCGTCACAGTGAAAATTACCCACCCCTACCCCTTCTGCTGTGTATGAATACTCCCACCACCACCCAAACCATCCCCAGCCTGTGTGCTGGGGGGGACCTAATAGAAAGGGGTGGGGCATAAACAGGAAGGGGTGTGACATAAATGGAGGGGCTTGGCCTTAAGATAATGGGTGGGTTCAAAATAGGAAGGAGCAGGGCCGAAGCAGGTAGGGGTGGAGCCTAACAAGAAGAGTGATTATAAAGTGGAAGGGGCGTGTCCTAAACAGGAAGTGGGGGGCACCTAAAGAGGAAGCAGACAGGCCTGAAAAGGAAGGCAGCAGGGCCTAAGCAAAACATTGCAGTGCTTATAGGAGGGTATGGGGCAGAAAGAGAAGGGTGCATGCCTAAACAAGAGGAAGTTAGTTGTAAAGAGAGAAGGGTGTGGCCTCAACATAAAGGGGCAGGGTCTAAGGAGGAAAGGGGTTTAACAGGAAGTGATCGGTCATAAATAGGAAGGATCCTGGCCAAAAGAGGAATGCTGTCGGGCAAAAAAAGGAATGGGTGGAGCCTGAAGGAAGGGGCTGGACATGAAGAGCAAGTGCAAATATGTAAGCTCCAATAAAAAAATTGAGGCCCAAAAAACTGCAAATCTGAAAATGTCAGAAAATTACAGCTTCTTAAAAATAACAATTCTCCATATAGAGGAGTGCTTCGGAAATGTTACGAAATTAAAACAGAATCAATAACAAAATGTTATTCCGCAAAATAAAAATAAAGTTTAATTGGAATTTCACTTGAAACATAAAAAACTAAATGGTACTGATGCTTGTGCTTTTAGAAAACGAGTTGTGCAGTATTTTAAA